CCTTCATGCAGTAGCTGCTTTCCTTCACCACAACATCCATAGCGATGGTCTTGCCCGCACACGTGTGGGCGAAGAGCTGTGCGCCACCATGAAGTCGAGACACAAAGCGCAGGGTATTCGGCTTCACCTGGTGAATGCTGTCATTCGCAACAACATCCGGGATGATGGTCTTGCCCGCCAGCGCATTGACGAAGAGCTGCATGCCACTATGAAGTCGCGACACCAGGTGCGGGGTGTCCTCCGTCACACTGTCAATTGCATCATTCGCCATAATATTCAAGGTTAGGGTCTTGCCCGCCAATGCGTGGACGAAGAGATGCATGCCACCACGGAATCGCGACACGAGGTGAAGGATGTACTCATTCACGTTGAGGGTGTCTCTCACCACAACATCCAACACGACAGAAAGAGTGGCAAAGATCACGATTATGGCCAACGGGGCCGTTTTGGTCAGCTTGTCCAAACCCGCCAACAACCTGACCCAGGAGTTCAGCCATCCATCCGCAAGCAGCCTTGTAGAAGAGAGGCCGTTGATAGGCATCTCGTTTTCGTTGAAGAATCCAACGTCGTTGTACTGGTTGCTTGCATCCAGCAGGTGAGTAAGGGGCACTGAAAAACCGCAGAAGATCAAGCTGATCACCACACCAGCCCACCAGACCACGGCCAAGTAGGTCAGGTCACCGACTCGGGCTCCTCGTCGTCCTGATCCAGCTTCATGCCGCTGTAGTGGAGCCAGTAGTCCTGGGAGACGATGCAGAGCCAAGTCAATGTCGGAGTAGCCCAGGACTGCCACTCGCCGAAGACTGTCATCACGACGTGCCCACATTAAGCAGGGCACTGGGGCACTACGATATTCCTCAGCCTCGCTGGTGAGGCGAATCGGGCCCTCTAAAGTGGTATTGGTGAGTATTTCCAGCCCTGACATTAATTTCGAAGACGGCGGTAAAGGGTTAGAGGGATCTACCAGCGTTCCGCTAAGGGTCCTACACGAGCTCGTAGGTTTTCATATTCGTTTTCCCTAAACGCGCAGCCCTAAACCCAAAGCCCTAAACCCTAACCTATAAACCCCAACTGGAGCAGAGCCCTACTACCAAAGCACCTCCGAGCTCAGACCATCAGGGCCTTTCGTGGCTTGTCACGAGATCTTCAGATACATTTGTAAGGCTCCAGTTACTTAAATACTGGTGATGATATAAATCCTGCATTACCTTAAGGACCCTGAAGTATGGGAATTCTGGTGTATTCCTTATGATGGGGTAATGCAGGACATCATATCATCAGCCGTAGGTAGGCTGCTAGCCATAGACGAAAAGCGCAGTAACCTATTCTTTGGGGGTAGATGGAGGTCCAGGGTCCGACTGCCGAAAACCAAAAGGCGCCGGTTCAGGGTGTAGGGCTTAGGGTTTAGAGTTTAGGCTTTAGGATTTAGGGTTTATATAGGCAGAGCTACGGTATATGTTTAGGGTTTAGGGTTTAAGGTTTTGGGATTTAGGGTTTAGGGCTTCTCGTCCAGGCTACTAAGGTTGTTCGCTTCGTAAAAAGCGGGCTCTCGCATCAGGACTCAAACCTCACTCAGGGCTACTATGAGGGTTATGTCAACCCCCCCAAGAGCCGAAAATGCGCACCCCCTAGGCCTCTGAAGCCCTGCAGCCCCCGTAAATGCTCTATGCAAATCTGGTAGGAACCTAGAAAAAGTAAGCCCCATAAGTGCACGATAAAGCCCAACCCCTAAACCCTAAACCCTAAACCCCAAACCCATAACCCCCTGCAAGAGGAGCTGCAGCAGCCGGCGTTGCATATGCCAGCTCCTCACTGCCCTAGGGTTTAGGGTTTAGGGTTTAGGGTTCGTTTTTTTGCTTTTGTTATTGTTGGGTTTCGGTTCTTGTTGCTTCGAGTTTGGAGGATCGGGCTTTGGGATGTCGTGCATGGGGTGTTTACGATCGGATTTCAGATTCTTTCCGGCTCAGAGACTCCCATCTCTCTCTCTGGACATGCTTGCGGGTTTCGGTGGATGCAATCTAGGGGCCTGAATGATTAGAATAGGGTTTTCGGGGTATACGCTACTATGATGATAATAAGGTACCGCCAAAATAGTACAAGTAATTATTAAAGCCCCTCTATTCGGATTTACAGATTCAGGTTCAGGCTTCAGATCATAGGGTTTGGACTGCAGGAAAGGTCTTGGCTCTCCTGCAAGCTCAATGTTGCAAATCGGGGCCCAAAACCCTAAGCCCTAAACCTTCAACCGCAGGAGTTTCAGGAATCTCTTCAGGACCAGCGGCCGTGAGCACAGGAGGGAGGTTCTATCAGAACAGCTCGCTCTTGGGCTGGCGGGCTTAGGGTTTAGGGTTTAGGGTTTAGGGCTGCGGGCTTTGGGCCCCGATTTGCGACATTCAGCTTGCAGGAGCCAAGACCTTTGCTGCAGTCCAAAGCCGGTGTTCTGAAGCCTGAACCTGAATCCGTAAATCCTAGTATAGGGGCCTTCATATTATTTACTTGTACTATTTATGGAGGTGCCTTATTTTCATTCAAGACGAGTTTGTCATGCTGGGTGCGGGTATGTTGTGTTTGGGCACACGGTTGCTTAGATTGGCTTAAATCCAAAAAACCCGAATTAATTCTTTTCAGATAACGCTTGGAGCGTAAACCTGATCTAAGACAATCCCAAAGCCCCAGAGCCCGTAAACCCTTGAACCTTAAAACTTATTCCCTCAAGCCAAAGACCCTGAACCCTGAAACCTTAAACCCTTACACCTGAGACCCTAAACTCGAAACCCGAACCCTCAAACCGGGGAAGTGTTGTTGTGTGGAGAAGGCCTGCAGATACATAGGTTCCCTAAAACTCATCCTCTGGGACACCCATTAGGGTTTAGTGTTCCGGATTGTAGGCAGTGGAACAGTCAGATGCAGATTCGACACCTCGAAAGCTACAAGCACAGCAAGCAAATCCTTCGGTGAAGCAATATGGGGTTTGGAATTTGGTGTTTTGAGTGTAGGGTTTGGGTCAAGCAAGGACCAGTTACAGATAGAGGGCTTACTCACGGCTTTGGTTTTAGAAGGGTGCAGGTTCGAGTACTTAGTTTTGCAAGACCGTGAAACTACCTAGACTCTCCATGTCAGCTCCATTTCTTGGTCAAGTGGTTTTGATCAAGTTAGTAAGATCCTACAAGAGAACAAACAAAACCCCTAAACCCTAAACACCCTAAACAAAACAGAGCTACACTGGAATCTGAAGGTGTATAGGGATTAGGCGCTTTCGAGCCACGGTTCGAGTTTTTGGAGCCTCACGCTAGATAATTAAAGGAAACTACAGGTGGGAGTTCAGGGCATTTAGGGCTTCTATAGGGCTTCTATAGGATATATAGACCTTCTAGAGATAAGTTTGTCTGTGGATGTCTTGACACCTTTGCGTATTTGAGTGCAAGGCTTCGCGCAGTGGTTTATTATCCTGCACCCACCTCAAGCCTGAACCTAAGCCTTGACTCCCGACGGCTCAGTTGTTCCTCCAACGCCGGCAGCTTGCTGCAATCTCAGTTTCATTGAGCATGGCTCGTTTCTTGGAAGTTTAGGCAGTGTGCAGGGCTCATGAATCCTGAATCTTAAGCTTAAATTGGGAATACGCCTAAAGCGCCAACCCTAAATGCTTGAAACTTAAAAGCCGCAAACTACCCTAACCTGGGACCTGAATGCCCCCAACACCAAAGTACTCCGTAACCCAAGTAACCCTGTGAGCCCAAAAGCCTATACCCTGAAGCCCGAATCCTTGAATTATATGCCCTATAGGGACTTAGCAAGTAAGTTGTAAGGAGGGTTATGGGTAAACCACGTTAAGGAATATTGCTTATAATCTGAGTACTATTTAAGTCCCCTGTATACGATGGAGGGTTCGACGAGAGAGTTTCGGGGAGGTTGGATGTTGGGGTTTTCGGGTTTAGGGTTGAGGGTTTAGGGTTTAGGGTGCAGGACTTCTAGATTGGTTAGGCTTCGGGGTGTAGGGCTATGTATGATCTAGGTGTTAAGGTGTGCCGGATTTTAGTGTTTAGGGGTGTAGGATGTAGGAAACCTAAACCCTAAAGCCTAAATCCCAAACCCTACACTCGGCTCGAAAGGTTTAGGAGTTAGGAGTACGTTGAGTCTTGCGGCGCGGTGGACTCCACCCTGTCAGGGATGTAGGGTTTGGTTTAGGGTTTAGGGTTTAGGATTTAGGGTTTAGGGTCTAGGGTTTAGGTTTTAGGCTTTAGGTTTTAGGGTTTAGTTTAGGGTTTAGGTTTTGGGGTTTATAGGGTTTAGGGTAGCTAAGCTTATCCGTAGCTTAGAAACAGAACCTAAGACCTCAAACCCTTAAGCCTTAATACCCGAAGCCCTAAACCCTCAGCACTTTTTCAACCCCACAGACTATGGACGCTTCCGGGAACGAGCCACCACGACACTAAGAAGCAAGTCTGAAGCCCTATGTAAGCGTATTCTCGACCTTTTCGATCACTTGTCAATCACTGTGTATGACTACCCCTGCACCCTTGAAGCCCGAAGCGTAATTAAATTTCAGAATTTCCCTAAACCCTTAAAGCCCTCAACTTAAACTTTTCGCACTAGAGGTCCGTTCCGTAGCCCGGCGCACCGCGGAGAATGATCCCGCAAGGAGCTCAGAGGAAGGCGATGGACATTCGGTAAGCAACCTTGCACTAATGTAGGGGCCTTCTTAATAATAATATTAATAATAATAGTAATAATATGAATAATAATAGTAATAATAATAGCAATAATAATAATAACAATAATAATAATAATAAAAATAGAATAATAATAATAATAATGGCAGCAATTTTAATAGTAAACTAGGGTCTTGGGGGTTAGGGCCTATAATGGCGTAGAGGATAGTACAGGGAAGGGTTGGGGAGTAGATGAGACCCAAGATGGGTCCTAAGTGCCCCAAATACTGTTGATGATATAAATCCTGCATTACCTTAAGGACCCTAAACTATGAGAATTATGGTATATTCCGTATTTTGGGTAATGCAGGATAATTTATATCATCAACCGTAGTACGAGCCTTGCTGGGAGGAGCCTCTAATTGGAAAAGAACCCCTCAGTTACAAATTTCCTTCGTGGATTTGGGCTTGAGGGCGAGGATCCTAGAGGCCACCGACCCTAACCCGAAAGGATATGATGGTGGCAAAGATTGCCTAAAAGCCCTAAAGCCCCTAAACTTGGCCCTAAAGCCTAAGCCCTGAACCCCTAAACCCTAAAACCTTAAACCCTAAACTAGGTCTATCTAACCCTATGTCAGAGACCCCAAACCCAACTGGCACAAAGTGAGCTTTGAACCTGAAGCGTCACTAGCAGGTGATGGATGGGACACCCTGATACGAGGTTCTGGGGTGGTACATGGTAGCACCTCCAAAACCCCTAATGGGGTGGGCAGCTTGTATTCTAATATTTACAATATATGCCGCGCAGCCCTAAACCCAAAACTGTTGCCCTAAACCCTAAACTTAAACCCTGAACTGTGGCCCTAAGCCTGGGGTTTGAAGCCTGGATGTGAGCGCTGTGAAGATCTTTGATTCCAGCCGTTGAGATCGAGCATAGAGGCTTGTATACTTGGGGATGATGTCCGCCGTAGGGTTTCCTAGAACCTGACTAGAAGTGCAGTTTTAGAAGTATAAACAAAGTCAGTATAGGTATCGGGTGCCGCAGGATGGAATTTTTCAGCATGAGGCTTTTAGGATGTTATAGCCGGAATGCCCGAATTTTCGCTCAGAGAGGCAGCTTCGCAGGTTCGTCCTAGGGTTAGTGTTTATTTAGGGTTTATGGTTTTGGGGTTTTGGG